AGAGTACGTACGGTAACGTAGAGAGAGAGAGAGAGAGAGAGTAGAGAGAGAAGAGAGAGAGAGAGAGAGAGAGAGAGAGAGAGAGACAGAGTAGAAGAGAGAGAGAGAGAGAGAGATTGGGGATCAAAGCTACGAATGAGGGAAAAAAAGAATAGGGAAATGGAGAACCCAGCGTCTTTTAGGGAGAGAGAGCTTTGGGGGGGCCAATAGAAAGAAGAAAATCAGGCGGATGATCATACATCAAATTTGCACACAGACCCAAAGAGAGAGAGAGACACAGAAATAGAGGAATTTTTGCCATAAAAAACTGGAAGATCACAGTCAATCACACTTCTAAAATTTTTGCCAAAAACTCAACTTCTCTCTAGAGGGAGAGGGGATGAATAGTAGGAACATCACACAGTCAATCATGCACCAAATGTCCAAATGTGTTTAGAGAGAGAAAGGAACTTTGGCCATAAAAAATTGGAGGAAAGAGACCAATTGTCGCCAATAACCTCATGTAAATAATCGAATGCGCATCTTCAAATTCCGTTAAAAAATGCAGTTCTGGCTTCAAAATCTATTTCATTCCTATTTATACAATTTAAAATTTCATAAAACTAGCGATGTTCAACAGATGACACTAAAAAAACAAGAAAAGTGGGGAAAGAAACCAGAGGGGGCAATTTGCAACAAAATATGGAGCAAGTGTAATAAAACTTGGGAAATTTGCAGAGAGAGAGGGGTAAAGCCATGTACTCAGGGAAAGAGGGAGATACTTAGCCATGACAATTATAACTTGGGAATAAAAAAAAAGGAAAAAAAGAAAAGATCCCTCTTATGGAAATTTGTAATTAGAGAGAGAGATGGGGGCTGGGGGATTAGTGATAGAAAGAAAAGGACGGGAATTTGTTTTTAGAGAGAGAGGAAACGATGCATATGCAAATCCTGAGTAGATTCAGATAAAGAAGGGATAAATTTGTTTTTAGAGAGAGAGAGGAGATAATACCTGTGCAAATCATCGTATAAGTATTGATCAAAGGGATCATAGTACAATTCATCAGTGTTCATGGGATTGGAGGTCATATTGCTTAAACACTTGAGCTCCCTCTGCTGGATTTTAGAGAGAGAAAGACTGAGAAACCTTGTAGAGAAAGGCAGAGTGAAAAACCCCGTTTCTCAAAGGCCCCAATTTATAGTGCGGGCTGAGACATGGGGTCAAGAGTGTCACATAAATTGAGGTTACAATCCTTCACGTGATCGATAAGACTCATGAAGAGAGAGAAAGAGGACCGGTGGGAGGACGACGTTTTAGAGAGAGAAACTGAGTACTTTTTTGGCTCGAGTGAGGAGAGAGAAACTTGGTTTAATGATTCTCTCTAAACCCGATGCTCATTTTAGTAATACAGGACAAGAGAGAGAAAGTATGTGAGAGAGAGCTAAATTAAGAGAGAGATTTTTGGGATCAATTAAAAATTAAGAAATAAAATGTGGATGGATGTTTTTTTAAATTTTCGGGTTCCTCGTGGATAGCGCGCAAGGTTCCAGAAAAATATTTATGTAAACTTTAATCAACTGAAAAAACTAGCAAACCCAGTCAATCTCAAAATACCCATATCTTCATAAAAATTTACAAGAATATCCCCTAGTATGGCCTTTAGTTTTCATAATCACGTGGTGATGTCGTCTAATGTCTTCTTGATGAAAACAAACAATTTTTATATGAAAAGCATATTTCATGAAACAATAGATTGGTCTAATTCATCTTACCAACGATCAAATCTCCGGGTAAAAAAATAAAAATAAAATAAAGTTTAATAGAAAATCAATCAAAATCAATTTTAATTATGTTTGACAAATCAAACTGGTTAAACAAAATAAAGCTAATTTTTTTGTAATATATTTGAATATTTAATTGATAGTTAGACAATTAAACAAAGTTGGACAAATATATTTAATATTTTTTATTTTTTGAAAATGTAATCCAATTGATTCAACTGACGTTAGGCCAATTTTATCGGTAATAAATATCTCATGAATTTCATAACCGATCCGATTGCGATAACATTACATTTAAATATCAACTTCCAAGGGCGTTGATATTACAAAAGTCCCTTTTTTTTACTACCCTGCATTCAAGGGTCAATAAAACTTAGTTTAGGTGCATTGGCGGCCTACCAATAAGTTCACTCTCCTAAAATTCATTTTAAAGATAGATTTTGGATTAAAAAATTTGCCGATCAACATCTACACCACCATTTTTATGAATAGGGCGGATAGAAAAAAGAGCTATATGCTTCACAAATTGTTTATTCTTCAATGTCTCAAGAAGCATCAAATGTGCCTTGTGTTTAGAGCTTCTATATCCTTGGATATGTGGCCATATCCATGGATATGAGGCAGTAGGTTTATTGTGATTCCTAAAAGAACCGAAGTAGACACCTGAATGGATCATTCTTTAAAGTATCTTAAATAAATTAAACAACAAAAATGTAAATAAGACAAGAAAAGCATGGAAATAAAAAAAAATGTGGGTTAATCCCTTTAGTTATTTGGATTTCAGAACCCTTTTAAATGCAATAACATAAACTCTTAAAGTTGGATCCCACTAGGATTGCATATTTAATAGGCTGGAAGAAATCAATGAGAATAGAAACTGAAATATGCGAAATAAAACATAAAAGACACACTACAAGAGCATAAAAATTTACACGATTAACCCCAAAATGATACATCCACGGGCACGGTAAACAGAAATATGTGGTATTGAAGAGAATTACATTATAGATTTTGAGACATATAGTTATCTCTCTAACCCTTGATAAAACCTAGTCGAGCAACCCTTTTATACTAGCTCTCCCGATCTGCATCACTTGCCAGTCTTTTATCTTTATTTCATAGCTAAATCATATACACATCTTTATTCCAAAACAAAACCCAGTCTATGAAGAAAACTATGAGAGTAATTGAGACTTCTCTTACTAAAACAAAAAATTCCTTATGAAAACCTCTTCTCTATAAGAATTGGGCCTTCCACTCTTATGAAGCTACATTTCCCTTGGTGACCCGGTTAGGCCACATATATTCACTCCTTCTCATATATATATATAAAGCTGAGATTAACACACTAGCTCATATAAACATATGAGCCAAACGGCTCAAATTGAATCTGGGCAGATCTGACGATCAAGGATGTTTAGTAGTGTTTGAATTTTATTTTATTTTTTACAAATCCAAATCAGTTGAAATTGTACGTGTGTATTTATCGATAACAGGTGAATCTTTGAAAAATATCAAAAAAATATTTTATATGAACTAAATTGACTAAAATACCTCCAAAAATCTCCAAGGGGTATTTTGGTTTTTTTTTTACGAGTAATTTTTTTTTAATATTTTTATTAGGTGTGCGTTAGTGAGAATAATATATATTTAAAATTTCAAATGATTTGGTTTTGTAGAAAAATAAATAAAATTCAAGCACTATCGGATATTCGTGATCATCAGATCGGCCCAGATTGAATATGGGCCGTTGGGCTCATATGTGCATATGAGCTAGTAGGCTAATCCCAGCTTTTCTCAAGGTTACGTGGAAGTGCTAGTGTGGGCCAATCTACCTTGACACGTTTTTATAGTTTACTCACTTTTGTATTACTTCTTCTTACTGCCGTATTTATGTTAATGCATTTTTCAATGATACGTAAGCAAGGTATTTCGGATCCTTTAAAGAGAATTTAATTTATAGAGAAAATAGATCATATATCTATAAGGTTTTGAATCCATATCAAATATGAAATTTCTTTTAGATGTCAAATATTACTAAAAAAACCAAGAGGTATATACAAAGGGGCAAGCTTTCTATGCTTTCCCTACATCATAAAAGTTATATCACCCCCCTTATCCAACCGTCCATTCTGAATGGAGGGCTAAGATTGCCCCAATTACAATGTCACGACTCTACACTATTTTATTTTTAATTTTTTTTATATAAACTATTTTGACACCAAATTTCGGACATCCATTCTTCTATTAAACTCGCACTAGCGAAAAATATAAAAACATATTTTCAATAAAATAAAATAACCAAAATACCCCTAAAAGATTCAAGGGGTATTTTGATCATTACATTTTATCAAAAAATTATTTTTAATATTTTTTATAGGTGCACCCCAATGAAAAGATGGCATGTACGAAATTTTATATTCATACAATTTGTATAAAAAAAACTAACCATAAAAAACTTTGAGAAGTCGGATCTAAGATCAAACGGTGAGCGACTCTCTTGATCAAAATTGGACGGCTTGATGGTAGGGGATGGATAGAACTTCTATGCAGTAGGCGAAGCATAGAAACCTTTCCCTAAATCTAGTTGGACTTCTATTTTCTTTAGTAAATTTATCAATATCAATTTCAAAATCAATCTCATAAAATATAGAATTTTTTTTTTGGGAATGATTTTGGATATCACCATATCCTACATAATTAACCACCAAAATACAAAATGGGCAAAAGACCATAGGGAGTAAAATAGAGAAAAAACACAACAAGAAAGGAAAAGCAACAAAAAAAAAAAAAAAAATGAAAAAGAAAAAGAGATAGAGAGGAACTTTTGTCATAAAAAAGTTGGGGAAAAAAGACAGCATAAGGGTGAGTTTGTGTGAATACGAAAAGTAGTATTCTTCTACTTTAATTAATGAATAAGAAAGGAAAGTAGTTTTCTTGGTTATTTAAGTAAGGAAAAGTGGTTAATGTGGGGACGTATATCTACATTTGCATCCCCCAAGGCATCCCACCCCTATCTTAATGATGGACTTGTGGTCTCTTCCATAAAAGGTAAAATCAACTGTTTAAATTTTTTTTTGAAAAATTTATCATTTTTAATTTTTAAAATTTATTTATTTTTACACAATCGAGAGTTCTCAGTATTAAAGATTATACATAAGGGTTATGTTAGGGTGCTCACTGTGGAGTAATTTATCATTGTATTCATTAAATTTTAGACACTTCTATATTTTTATTTTGTGTGTATAACATTTTTTTTTAATAAAGATATTTTTGGTCTTTAGGAGAGTTGTGACGTCATCCACATAAAATGTGACATTATCGACATGGATGTCACACCCCTCCTAATGAATAAAATTATCATTACTAAAAAAACTCCATGTACAAAATAAGAGTATAAAAGTGTTCAAATTTGTTAAATACAATAATAAATTACTCCATAATATGAGCATCTTAACATAACCCAAAAATAAAAAATGAGGTAAAAAATCCCTCAAAAAAATGGATTACAAAGAGGAGAAGTTTTTTCTACATATTAGTGCTAGGAATATAAAAACCGCACCCTTTATGTAATGGAGAGAGAAGCTTAGATCATCCTTGGGCAAGAAAAAGTCGTCATGATAATAATGGAGAGAGAGAGGTTCAGATTGTGCTTGAGAAAGAAAAAGTAGTCATGGTTGTAATGGGGAGAGATGGCTTAGATCATCCTTGAGAAATAAAAAGTAGTCATGGTCACGTTAGAGAGAGAGACTTGCATCCAACATGGGGTTCAATAAACTCTAGAGAGAGAGAGAGAGACTCGTATCCAATATGGGGTTCAATTAGCTAATGTTGCAATTATGCTGTTTCAATTCCATGTAATTTTAATCTTTCTTCATGTAATTTAGTCTACTTCGTGTAGAATGGCTGAGGAATTTCTAAATTTCACCTATTAATAAAACAATAAATATTAAGAAGCATGGTGTGAAATTTCTTGTTTTTCTGTCTTTCAATTTTTTTCGTTTAGGGTGACAAGCATAAATCTCTATTACGTACGGAGAAAAAATAAATAGCTTGAATTTTCAATTTTATTGAGATCTCTATTTTCTACTTTTTAAAAAATAATTAAATAGAAATTCTTCTAAAAATAATAATATGACTTATTACTGAAATAAGACTCTGTAGCTCTATTCAAGTAAAAATAGGATTTCTTGCTAGATAAAAATTTCCATTAAAATAACCAGGTACATATCTCAACTAAACTAAATTAAAACTGAAATTTAGTAAGACGAATAAATTAAATCCAGATGTAAACTAAATAGCATAAAAATTAAATTACAAGGCAATATTTATTATTTATTATTTATTTAAACTAAATCAATCTAATAATTATTTGTCATTTAATTTCTTATTGGAATATCATGTGAAG